GTCCATTGTCCTTGACCTCATTTTCATGGTTCTTTGACTACTTGAAAAAAGAAAATTGTAATCTTAATTGCTTCGCACCACGGTGCGGAGCTATTAGTTTCAGTCGATATACACGCCATCTTGAAATAATTACTTATCACATATAGATTCTGATTGGTTGCTTTATGATGCGGCTGAGATACAGCAACAGCTATTGGCTTAAATGAGATAAAGAATTACAGACTTTTCTCGTCTCAGGATAAGACATCAAATGCCGGAAAATTAACTACATGTATGTGTATTTCAGTTCCAATCAACTGTCATTAATTCATGTTCGTTTTATTATGCATATATTGCACACTGAAATTCAATATTGAAACATCAATTATTAATACGTGTTTATTTGCTTTGTTAATCTGCAATATGCACGATTTGTTTTGCTAAGCAATGTTCCTATACAATGTTTACAAAAATGCTTCTGCCAATCTAGGCACACCTCCAGAGAGGCACACATCCAGAGTCGTGTCTATTTGTAAATGTTTTAATTTTCAACAAGTAAAGTGAACAAAAGTTTAAAAGCATGGGTGTATAACGCACACTCTTAGAGTAGAACAACATCATTTTCACTGAAACTAAATATTTATTGCTGTTTCTTATTGATTTTAACTGTTGTAAATATCTTTTGGTTGTACAAGTCTTTGTTTACTCCTTGGTTTTAATTGTTATTGTCTTCATCACTCGAAATCATGTTACTCTTAATCAACATACATAAACATTCATATATATCTAAATAAATTATATACAGAGCTAGCAATCAAAATCGCAAGTCAATGAACAGCTGAAAGAACTAGAACACCACACTCCACAAAAACACATTGACAACTAAACACTGAACAGCCAGTTTAAAATTTCAGAAAAGTTCATCTGAATAAATATACAAATATTGATATTCCAAGTCTAAGACATCCATTTTATATCAATCAATATCTAAAATTACCACATTTCTAATACTAAATCAACAACCACATGCACACATATTACCTTAAATTAGGATAGAGCGAAGCAGTCCACAGCTTTTTATAAAGCTCAAACTTGTTTCTCTTTTATAGTGAGTAAAGGATAACTATATTTGGTATGTGCATACCTTGCATGGTCCTCATGCCTGTCAGACAGTTTTCACTTGACCTCGACCTCATTTCATGGATCAGTGAACAAGGTTAAGTTTTCGTGGTCAAGTCCATATCTCAGATACTATAACCAATAGGTCTACTATATTTGGTGTATGTAATGATTGTAAGGTGTACATGTCCAACTGGCAGCTGTCATCTGACCTTGACCTCATTTTCATGGTTCAGTGGTCAATGTTAAGTTTTTGTGTTTTGGTCTTTTTCTCTTAAAGTTTAAGCAATAGGTCAACTATATTTGGGGTATGGAATGATTGTAAGGTGTATATGTCTGTCTGGCAGGTATCATCGGACCTTGACCTCATTTTCATGGTTCATTGATCAATGTTCAGTTTTCCGGGTTAACTTTGTTTCTTAGATACTATAAGCAATAGGTCAACTATATTTGATGCATGGAATGATTTTAAGGTGTACATGTCTGTCTTGTAAGGACCATCTGACCTTGACCTCATTTTCATGGTTCATTGGTCAACATCAAATTTCTATGGTTTGGTCTGTTTCTATATTCGGTGTATGGAATTATTGTATTAAAGGTGTACATGTATTTCCTTGGTTTATGTGACCTTGAACTCATTTTCTTGGATCATAAATGTTAATGGGATACTTATAGTAAAACTTTATATTTAGGACTATCAGAATAAAATCAAAGGTCAGTATAGTAGGCGAGACATTTCAGCGTGTACTCTTGTTGAAAATGCATGGAAAAATCTACATTCTGGCAAAGTATAAGAAAATTCTATCTGAGGAAATATATACCAATGATCCCCCTTAAGTGTTATTGGACACCTCTATATAAAACATAGAAATAACTGTCCCTGTCATAGCCATTGTACGAGCATGGTGTTGATTGAACGATAACTATTCAAACACATTATGTCAACCGTTTTCTTTTGGACTGGGCGGTAATCCCAGGAGATGTGAGAGTACGATACAGGTATCTTTTGATTTCGACTCGTCATCTATAATATTAGACCTCGTGCGGGACGCCACAGATTTTCGGTTTCGTGTATCTTCGCAATTTTTATCATGGAAAATACAAAACATTTAGATCCGTGTTTTATTTCAATCAACATCCAGACGCAGACAATTTTGGATGGAGAATTAGGGGATCCTCCCTCCGCCTGAATCCCGATTCCCTCACCCTGGATCCCGGTTCCCTCACTCCGGAATATTCCGGAGTCGGCATAAATCCCGGTTCCCTCACTCCGGAATATTCCGGAGTCACTTACCATGTCCATTATTAAAATTTCCGTCCACTCCGGAATATTCCGGAGTACCTGTTTATGTCCTTTTTATGTTACATAAGAACGTTGCAATCATAATGAAGGACAAAATTCGTTAAAATCACTGAATGAAGTCACAAATTGCTAGAAATTAAATATGCATCCAGTATCCAGGATTAATAAGAGGAGGTTTGTTCGTACGTGATTTAAGAATTGAATGCTTCTTTTTGTAAATTTATTGGGGTGTAAAAGCGTTGACCGAAGTACATTTTGTATGAAGCGCGGAAAAAAGAAGGATGGTTATCCATTCTGATTTTCGGCGCTGATTTTTATGTGAAGTTTAAAGAATTTTCGCAGACTGGACAGTTTCAAACCGCAAGCACCTTTGTTTATCTGGAACTAAATTGCGTTTACATGCATTTCACGCAAGGTATAATGTTACAATATCGATATCGAGCTATGCCTGCATGATCTCATGGTATTGTGGCCACTCTAAGTACAGGAGGTCGTGAATCCGATCCCCGATCAGGTCAAACCAGAGACTTGAAAACTAAGTTGGGTTTTCTTTTTCTCCTCTAAAATCACGTCATTTATTAGTAATATCAAAGACTGCCTGTCATCGTCGGCTTAGAGTCAGCATATCGTTTCCGCGGATTGTCAACTTGTGAACTAACACGTTAAACATCCCTTTAAGCGTGTTGGTCTAGTACAAAGCACTAGGGTTTATATTAAAATCAGATTAAAATGAACTCGTTCTTATATGCATGTTTTATTTACCATTAGATGTTAAACATTAACTTATGATCGTCATATCATCATCAATAACGATTTTTGTTTTGGTTCTTTACAGCGAATATCCGAATATATGTACAACCTAATTGGTATTTTAAATATAAAAATAAGACTCGTTTTTGCTGAAAAAAAACCCCAAACCAAATATAACAACTACAACACATATAGTAACACCTTAATTAATATCGAATTTTTTTTTTAAAACTCAAGAATTTTTATCAATATATGAATAACGAATTAGTACACAAACCACTGATGTCCAGTTCTTTGACAGTTGTTAGAGCACAAGTCAGACGAACCGAAATATGTTGGTTGAAAATTTACTGGATGCTAGTCTAATTAAAATATAGAACTCTGATTTCGTTATACTCATATGGATGCAGACATAAACGAATTTATGTGTGACTTAGGAAGCATAATTATAAACATCATGTAAATGGTGGAAAGCTTGTTGTGTTCAGTTGCAACTTCAAATAAGTTCTTGTTCATACATATAAAAACAATAAGGTGTGGTATGATTGCCAATGATACAACTCTCTACCAGAGACCAATTGACATAAAAGTTTACAACTATACGTCACCGTACGGCCTTCAACAATGAGCAAAACCCACACCGCATACTTAGCTATAAATGGTCACGAATGGGACAGAGATAAAACACAGTAAGATATATAATTTTTATATAGAAATAGAACATTAATAAAATTGAATATATAGAAAGCTCTCTCACAAGCAAAAAAACTCTAACTGTAAAATATTAGGTCATACACCACAGGCACGGCGACACATTCTACTGCATCCACACAGCACGAGCAACAAACCCTGCAGTAAATATGTTCATCTACGATCTGTTCTCCAGTAAAATAAATACATATGACGCTTTCTGAGAAAGTTTCATTTGTTTTGTCTAAGTTATGGTTTATTAAAAAGATTTGGCAGTTTTTTTTATGTTAATTACGATTACCAACAAGATCCGTGCATTACATACAAGTATTTCTTTTAAGATGTATATATCATTAGGCGGTATTTCGTTTTTTATGAAATTTTTAGAACTCGTTGAAAATACATCTCAACAGAATTGTATTTAGTCTTATTGCAGAATGTCTATAAATATGTTTACAAAGTTGAAAAAAATGTCCTTTGGTAATATCTCAGATTTACTGAAAATGTTATTCAGATGTAAATTAGATATGTATACGAGCAGATACATTTTTGTAGGAGTTGATCTTTCCTCAAAATAGGTTTTCAAATATAAATAAAATGAGATGTTGGATACAAGTATGTGTCAACTGAACGACACACAGAGAAAAATATATATCGAGAGGTCGACATACGTTCTGCAACACTAGAACACAATATGAAAATGAGAGGCGAAAGATACCAAAGGTACATTCAAACTCGTTAGTCGAAAATAAACTGACAATGCCATGGCAGAAAAACGAAATAAGACCAAAGGACAAACAACAGTATACAAAACCAAAGGCTGAGCAACATGAACCCCACCGGGTTGATAATCTCAGGTGCTCCAGAAGGGTAGGCAGATCCTGTTCCACATGTGGCACCCGTTGTGTTGCTTATGTTAAGCTCTAAATTGTCCAGACTTTATCAAAGTTGTGAATAACCTTAACGGAGAATATAAAAGATCTGCAATCAAAATAAGTCCTTAAATAAAAAAATACCAAACAAACAAAAGAATGCCCCCCCCCCCCCCCCCCCCCGCAAAAAAAAAATATCTTGATAATATTTTACCATATATTTACGTAATGCGTTTAAGTATTTACGGTTAATACATGTATTAATATTAAGACGATATTTTCGTGACATTTGATTCAATCTTTGAATGTTATTTTGAAGGAAACAATGGTATTTGAATGCATTACTGGATATCCTACTACAGCTAAACGCAATTTCCGAATCGTAATTCTACTCGCTGTTCATATTCCCGGAAAAAACTATGAAATAATACAAGCATTTTGGAATATGTATGAATGTATCCTTGTATGAGTATAATTTGTATGACAGAAGAGGTTCATTTGTAATGATTATATCCAATAAGTCAGATCTCAAGATTGCAATTTTAGCACGTCCGTATTATCGTATTTTCTTCGTTCGTCTCAGTTGGATGTATGTACCAATAAACATCAAGACTGACATGGAAAATAATGCAACCATATTTTGCCAGAAATCCCATTTCGTTTCATATGCAATGTCTTGGCTTGTAAGATAATCGTTGCCAGTGGTAGAACTGGAAATATAAAATATGATTCATTTTCAAAATTAGTTCTTTCTTTTATTGATATAGAATAATATTCACCAGATAACATAACCTCAGAAGCACATGCCATGCACACGGCAATCGGATTGGTACGTTTACATCAAGCACAATCAAAAAGCACATTTTACTGTTAAAGTATAAATAATTCCTGTGTCAGTATTTTACAAATGTGTAGTTTTTCGTGTATTTGTATTTTTCCAGTGAAGATTTTCCTTTACTGGTTTCTTATATGTTATTTTATGTTTATTTTGATAATTTACAGATCGATATCAAAACTGGCGAGAGTTTATATCTCAGGAAACTTTTTTAATCCAGCTACATTTCGATATAAAAAAATAAGGAGATGAGGTATGGTTGTCAATGAGACAACTTTCCACCAAATTGAAAGTTCAAATAAAGTGGATGTAAGCAATTATAGGCAACCGTACGGCTTTCAACCATGAGAAAACCCCATATCGTATAGTCGGCTATTAAATGCCCCGACATGAAAAATATATGCCTGTTCCAAGTCCGGAATCTTGTCAGTAGATATCATTTATAATGTTTTCCATCTTTTTGGGAATGGAGGTTTAACGGCAGGTCTTTTATTTTTTCTGTTAAATTTATTCACATTTTCTTTACATATTTACATATTGTATAAATACCTATCTTTTTCTTGAATACTGTACTTTTACCTCTAAATGTCTTTTGGTGATTTTTGTCGTTGGGTTGTTGTCTCATTGACGTATACCTCACTTCTCCATTTATTCACAATTATTTCTCGAACAAGAAAAAAACCCCGTTTTCTTTATATAATTGATGTTTCTTTGAAAACCGTCATAGTCTTTACATTTACCTACCATAAAACCGTTCCATTTGTAAAAGTCATATCTTTCAATTCAATTATCTCTAACGCCTAAAAAGTCATATATAAAAGTTACAATGAATGGGGAAAGACGCAAAAATTATCAACACATTGCAATACGCACCAATATCTTTCTTAGCAAATCACGCAGCAGTAAGTTACAAATCAACAAAGTTATCTCGTTTGAAGTGTTTTACATTTTTTCATGTCGAAGACTTTTATAGCTAACTATACGGAACAAGTTTTACTCATTGTTGAAGGCCATACAGTGACATCTACGTCTTTTGGTGTCTGGTGGATAGTTGTCTCATTGGAAATAATACCACATCTTCTTATTTTTATACAGACCCACTTATGAAATGTAAATAGTTTTGTTCTTTAATTCAATGTTTTTGTGTTAGTTTTTTTTCAGCTTTGCAATTTTCCTCTGTATTTCGTCAAACGTATTTCCTTTTTATACATATTAATCAGATCATTAACATAATTTTTTTTTGCTGTTGGATTAGATACAATCCTTACACACCCAATATAGATTGCCACTTGACTTGGAATTAACAACGAAGGGGGATCCAATTTTAAACGGAGACGCTCACTTAACATGTTTGTATTGCACTTGTTTCGAAAAATTATCAGATAGCTGCTGAAATCAGAATAGCAGTAAAATTAGCATTTGAACGAGTTTCTGTCGCAACATTCAGATTTACGTTTTTGAGTGGCATGATATAGAAAAGTTCGATTTTCTATGTATTGCAAACTAATTTTCAATTGTGATACTTACTATTCTGATATTGTGTTATTTTTTCATAATAAAAAAAAAAAAGAAAACATTATTTCATTTTGCAAGTGGCAAGTTGCATTAGATACCATAATTATCTATCTAAGTATCGTGTGATCTCGTGTGTGCTGCAAATCTGGCTGTGTCCATTTGTCGCATCCACATCCCACTTGACTTGTCATCGATAGTTTGCCATTTATGAGCAATACGTCGAATGTAAATAGATCACCATCGTTTATCTAACATTAACGTGGATCGATCGATAGTTTTCTATGTGGTGTTTTGTAGCTTCTTGTTAGTTTTTTCACCTTTTATGACAAAAAATTAACCATCATGTTTTTCTTCGTCCTATGCTTTCAGATTTCATTACAACGCCCTCGCCCTTGCATTGTCTTACTGATTTTCTTTGACAAGAAACAAGTGAATGAAATTCATAGATAAGTTAGAATATCATGCATCTTATATAGAGATGAATTAAGTAATAAAACGAAGATAAGGCCATACCAATTTGATTAATAGTTCTTTGGATTTTCCCGCTCCTGTTTTGGAGAAATTGACTTTTCAATAAAAAAAAATAATTACCGCTTCCGCAAATTTTTGGGCCGCATGCCGCTCCAAATTTTGTTTCTCCTTAATTTTTTTTTTCACAGACGTTTTTCTTGTGCATATATTGCTCCGTTCGATTCAAACGCACGTGTGATAAATCGAATTGTAAATAAAAGGTCAAAAATCGGGATGCCAACATGTAGTTGCGTCAGCTCATTGCCGTGGACAAGTAGTTACTGAACACACAGTTATTCGAAATGCATCTCGTTTTATCTATGAAAACCTATTCTAGGAGACAAATCTTAAAAATCTTTCTTAAGATAACCACGATCACATCAATGTTCGTTAGAACAATCGTCATCCCGGATCATTGTTTCAACAGACATAGACTTGAATCTGAATAAGTACGTTGCAGGGCCAGTATATGGCATCAATGGCAACGCCAACGATAGAGAGGCGCTGGAAAATTAGTCCAACGATGTGAGAGCAACCGAAGTTTTAAAGCTCTCAATTGTCTTGGCACACACGAGATTGTTTGGTAGTCTATTCCAATAAAAAATTGTTTTTACAAAGAATGACGGTTTATATTGTTCAGATTTGCTATGTGTAATTTTGAAACACCGGCTGCTGTTTTGTACAAATTTATCTACAATGTTTGATGTTTTATAGACCTATTTATCTTGGATGAAATTAATATTAAATTCCCATGAATTTTAAAAAAATCACAGATTTATCTTATTTTGATAAAACCCCATATCCCCTTCTTAGTCTATTGGCATACAAGCAGAAATCTTTTGTAAGGGAAAATTTAAGAGCTCCAACGTTCGAGACCAAAGTGGTGGTATTGTGATTGGCATGCTCATAACAATTAGGGATGTGTAATTGGTTCAACCACTTCTAGTCAAGCTAAAGAGTTTAAAACGCATTGCAGCTTTTAGGAGCAAAAGGAAAGAGTATTTTGCTGTCAGAATAATGCATGTGAATGTTGTGACATGTATTTTAAGGGAATATTTTAATACATTGAGATTTACATGCATAGCAATATAACTATCTTACTCATGATGTTGTTGAAATATTCACCTTACTCATTATGTTGATCCTATTATGGATAAATAGTTCAAAGTGGACATCAAGCAGCCAATAAACAATCATTACCATATATTGATATAATGAAAACAACTATATTAAAAAATATTTAATATTTTGCAGGGGCATTTTTTTGGATACATTCACATATTTAAATTTTATTCAACATATGTCATTTACCTAACTAACATAATTCCTCTGGTTAAACTGCATCTGCTATGCTTCCTTAATATATGCACATGTATGAATTTTAATGAAAATTCACACAGACAAAGCTTATTTGACGAAAATAATCAAAATTAACTAAACCCCAGCGAGACAAGGAAGATGGGTATGGTTAATGCGCCAATCCATCAAATTATATGCATTAGAGCATGTTTCTTCTCCTTTTTCTATGAAGTAACCCAGTTTTAACATGTACATAAACTCTAAATCGCACAATTTAAAAAAAAAATATACTGCTTGCTTCTCATGTAGAGCACTCGCCTCATAAAAACTCATTTTCAAGAAAAAAATACAATCAAAAAATTTTGCTCGCTTGCCCCATATTTTTTGGAGCTTTTGTCCGAAGAACTACAAATTAAATTGGTGTGGCCTAATCTATGCGCAGGCTGTAATGTTATAGAAAGGATCGTTGGTATAGTTGGGACCAGTGTTACCTAGAAATTGTTTACATTGGTCATTGGAAGATTTAGATATATAATACCTACATTAAGACCATATCTGAATAAACTAAACCATTTGATCCATCGTAACCAATCTTGTATTGTTTTTATATTAACTAACAAACCACTAAACACCTGTAAAAATAACATTTAAAGTTGGTTCTCGCTCTATAGTGACAAATCTTATAAAAAGGCACATGAGATCAATACAATTATTCAGCTCTTAGAATGACGAAAAATATGAAATAGGTATATCAAATTTATTGTAGGAATTTAGTTTCTTGAATACCAGTGTGTGCATGCTAACCCTGTAATTACAAGAAAAGAACTTCCTAATGGCAACTTACATTAAAATTATTAAAAGGATCAACATTCAAATGGTAGCAACCTAAAGGAGTTGACTAGACAAAAAACCCTTGTATTCCTATAACTTCCCTTTACTGAAGCTGATTTCTACTTCATTTTCTTTGCGGTCAAAACTGGTTATGTCTGAAAAAGACTACGCATTCTTGAGTATACTAGGCACATTCTTACCATCATAAGGACATATGTTACAGCAATCCACACATTAGCCATACCAAAATCTGTAACGCATGCACTGAAGAAAAATGCAATGCTAGTTCCTGTCATAGCTACCGTAAACAGTGTTAGAGCATACAAGAAAAATTTCTCCTCGTCTAATGTCAAACCTGTAAAGCATAGATAAGAATATAAAATAAACAAACGAGTTATATCGATCCTTTCGTGATAATATGATAGAATGCTCAGACAACAGATGCAAAAGTAAAATTTGAATATTAGAAAATATTGCCTTTGTCAACTATAAAAATAACACCTGATAAAATAACATGAAAAGATGGAAACTGTAATGTTGGTCGCAGATAAAGATAACGTGTAAATATTTTTTAAAAAGCTGTCATTTAAAAGGTGATTAACCTTTTCAACATCTCTTAAAATTAGTATGGACAATAATCATTGTAAGAGAGAAAATGATGTTTATTTTTAGTTATCAAACTTAAACCATTACTGGCTATGACAATACCATGATCCTATATAACCAGGATATATATTCTATGGTTGGTGATGTTCTGATATGCAGCAACGTTAATACTTCTATGGATCATTTTAGCCTTCTTGTAAAAACAATTTATGTTTAGTAATATGAATTACATCTTAAGATTATTTTACAAAACTAATGAACAAAAACAATTATATAATATATATCATTTGTTCATTACCAAGCATGAAATATGTGATCACAGAAAACAGAAACACAGGAATCAGTCTCATTGGTAAAGAATCGCATATAATCTTAGAAAAGAAATATGCCGACACTCTGTAAAATCCACTTAAATTTTCATGTCTGTAAATAGAATTGAAAAATTAAAAATCCATTGAATATTCGCAATGTATTAACGAACTAAAAAAGAAAAGAAAAAATAAAATAACGAAATTTAAACATTATTTTACTTTTTACAGTAAAACATTTATAATTTCTGACACATACTCTGCTTCTTCAAATATAAGAAAAAACACGATACTTTGGCTGTTTAAGAACAATAAAGAGCAAATCTTGACTCTGCCTTTGAATTTTTTTCGCTCATTCTTATCCTTCGCTTTAGCTAGTTTTCATACATTTTTTGCTTCGGTATGCAGGGTTTTTATTGCATTTTGTTATGTGTTCCATATCTATTTTATGACAATTCGTGTATATATCTTACTTACATAAAAATTGATCGTTCTTTTATGAATAATTCTACAGCTGACAAACTTGAAAAGACAATGTTCATCAAAATGAAGAAAAAAGCACCAACTCTGTGAATAATCAAAAACAGCTATTCAACAAAAAACCTAATGACAGAAATACTGTGGTCGTTTCAAATTTTGTTGTTTTGTCCGTAAATGTTGTTTTCGATAAATAATGTTGGTAAATGTTTTTTTTTAAATAATAAAGTTGAAACAAAAATAATATATTTCTTTTAAGCTAGCTTTAGGTAAGGTTGAGTTTATTTTGATTTGCTTTTAATTCACCTAAGTGTCGTCCTCTCCCATACGCGTACTTACAGTTTAGGCGTTTGCATGGTTTGAAAGACAAATTTGATTGAAATTTCTATTCAGTAAATTTTTCTAAATTTCATTTAAATGAATTGTGCAGTTTGAACGTAGGCAGTTATGTACGTTTTAATTCAGGTCAATATGGAAAAAGGAATTGTTCACTTCCGGTTTTGAATGATTTGAGGTGCTACATCTTTTATTTTCCGAGTAGCGATTCTCTGGTCTTTATCTTTTGTTTGTTTTCTTCTTTTAACCACATTATTGCTTGCCTTCTTCGTCTTATATTTTTTCCTTGTCAAGTTGGTAACGCTTTTCTAGTTATTTAAGGAATCAGTTCACTGAACGTTTTGTAATTACCTGTTCTGTATACCGGAGATACAATCCCTATCCATCCTCCAATAAATAGCTCCAACAATCAGACCAAATATTGTTAAAACAATCCACTGAAAAGAAAAAAATACACAAAAAGGGCAAAATTTAGAACGATAAATCATAAAGGAATGCAGAAAATGATTTAGAGAAATATTCCGGTTACAGTTCTTAGATCTTTATTAACTGATAGCATAAGAAATGTACAAACAATGTGTGAACATTGATTTTGTTTGATTTGATTTTTATAAGGTATTACAAATATTCGTACTTTAAAGATATACAATTCGCGTATTTTACTTTTTAATTAATCACTTTTGAACAAAGATACTGCACGCAGAACTTGATGACACTTTTCAACAAATTGACACCAGAAACAATCTTAATATTCATAGTTTTTTTCTGACTGGTATAAACGTTATTAAAGAAAAGTAGTGACTGCTGTTACTTACGTGTAAAATTGAAAGTTGGGGATTCCTCAATAAATTCAATAAATTTCTGCTTGATATGACTCTAAACTGAGGTAAAAGAACAAATATAGATATCCCGGTAATGCAAAAATAGAAATGAAAATGATAAACAAAATATCACTGTTTCTTATATTTCAGTACGAATGCTAATATTTCCAAATACTTACCCTTCCGGAGCACCTGAGATCACCACCGGTTTTTGGTGAGGTTCGTTTTGCTCAGTCGTTGGTTTTCTATTTTCTATTTTGTAAAGTATTGTTCGTCTTTTGGTCTTTTTCGTTTTCGTCATTGTTAGTTTATTTTTGACTTGTGAGTTTGAATGTCCCTTTGATATCTTGAGCCTCCCCTCATACTGACTCAATCTTTAGCATACATCCGTGATTACCGTTTTAATGTGATGTTGGGTTGCCGCTTGATTAAAATTTAACTGATGTCTCCGTTCATTCATATTAATCATAGTCTGATAAGCTGTTCATATACAATAAGATTGCTTATTCAATAATCATACACCTTTCCAAATGTTCTAATCTCTCACTTTAAAGATATCAAACTTGCATATCTTTTCTTATTACATATGATATAATTATTAAAGTCTAAATAGTCTACTAACCAGTATAAATGAATAGATATTTAAGATAAAACTAAATCGACAACAATCGTAGTTGTCAAGATTCATATTGTTCTTACTACTGTCTATTATTATTTGGACTAATATTTCAACTGAAATGGGCGTGAAACCTTCATGTCAGAAACATACATTCAATGCGATCTTCATTCCATTTTCATGCACCCTACCCTCTTTCTCCTACTCTTTTCTTTTCTCTCAACATACATTTATGTAAAACAAGCATTCTGTGAGTATTGCATGGCAATACATAGTCCCCTCCCGGTTAAAAATTCATTGTTAGTATTGGAACAAAAGAGGGACGAAAGATACCAGAGGGACAGTGGAACTCATAGATCGAAAACAAACTGACAACGCCATGGCCAAAAATAAAAAGACAAACAGACAAATAATAGTACAGATGACACAACATAGAAAACTAAAGACTAAGAAACACGAACCCCACCAAAAACTGGGGGTGATCTCAGGTGCTCCGGAAGGGTAAGCAGATCCTGCTCCACATGTGGCACCCGTCGGGTTGCTTATGTTATTACAAATCCGGTAAATAGTCTAATTCGGTAGGTCACATTCGTGAAAAGGGAAGGGTATTGTAGTTACGACATAAGGAACATATCCGATATCATCTGTGAAACGGTTATTCCATAACGGTCAACCAACTCGTGATGGCGTCCGTAAAATGTACGAAGGGATGATTTCAACTTCACCATTTGGAACTCTTGGTTTAATAGCTTCCTTGTGAGCAGCAATCCTCTATCAAGGAAATCATAATTTTAACTTGATCTATAACTTGTCATGGTGTAAACTATATAACAAATATTAAGTCAATATCTTCAAGCATGACGAAAAAAAAAGTGTTGAAAACTGATTATTTAAGTGAATTTTCTAAGTCCAGGACCATAACTCTACACAAAATCATCAGACCGGAACAAAATTTCGATCTTGATCTGTAACTTGTCATGATAAAATTATATACCACTCCAATTATCCAATCGATATCTTCAAGAATGACAAAAGAAAGTGCGGAAAACTGATTATTTTAGTGAGTTTTCTAAGTCAAAGGACCATAACTGCACAAAATCATCAGACCAGAACAAAATTCAAACTTGATCTGTAACTTGTGTCATGATAAAACAATACACCAAATATCAATTCAATATCTTCAAGCATGAAGAAAAAAAGTGTGGAAAACTGATTTGCCGGACTGACGGATGGACAGACAGACAGACAGACGAACGGAGTGCAAACCTAAATTTCGACTTCGTCGGTAGGGGACTAAAAAGACGGAAGATACCAAAGGGAAATATCAAAATCATAAGTCGAAAAACTCTGACAAAGCCATGACAAACACAACAGAAGACAAAAAAAAAAAAAAAAAACACTACAAAGAAATCCAAAGACTTAGCAATGCGAACCACACAAAAACCATGGGGTGGTCTTGGGTACGCCGGAAAGTATAGCAGATACTGTTCCATATGTAGTACCGTCGTGTTGCTCATGTAAATTCAAATACGATGTTGAATCTCATTTGGTGATGACACATTCGAGAAAAAGAGGACGAAATTGTGGTTACGACAATTAAAAAAAATCCGAGGTCATTTTGACACAGATATCCCATAATGGTCAACCAACTCGTCCGTAAAACTTTTGAAGGGATGCTTTTAACTACCCTTTTGTTGTCAAGTTTTGTCAGCAATCGATCCTCATTGTCAATATCTAGATGTAAGTCAATATACAAGCGAGGCAAACTTATTTTTATCTGTGGTATCCTTTATTTTAAAGTTCGTTGGGATAGATGCGTTCAACATAGTAACTACACTTTGAATTATTTAGTAAGAGGATATTATCTATATTGCAGAACGTGAAGTAAAATCAATGCAAGCTTCTTTTTATCCTCAATGAGAACCTCCTACATGAAATCTGCCTCATATGAATAAAGGAACAAGTCGGTAAGGAGAGGAGCATAATTGGTTTCTATAATAATGCCGATTGTTTTGTCGAGAAAAAAAAAACGTCCTCCAAGTATAACAAATATGTTGTCAAAATAAAAATCCAGTATCTTAACGATGTCAGTCTCAGAGCATGTTTTGTTTGAATCCGAGTGTTTTTTTACAAAGTAAAATTTATCTCTTTCTAAAACAAGATATTTGTATCTACGTTGGATATTCTTTTTAATAATAAAAAAGTGAAGTAGGACTAATTATTTCAATCTGTCTTTAAGTTAAGTATTGGGAATACTAGTGTGAAGAAGTGAAATGTTTTTATACTTCTGTATGTGGAAAGAAATTGATATTGTATGTTCTCTAACAGGTCTTTGGAAGTTTCTAGTATCCACATCTAATTCACACTTCCGCATGAGTAGGTAGTTTCACAGTTATTCCTCACCGAAATCATCGAGATTTAAAATTATCTAGCAGTTCTTCGGGACTTTCCGTTTTGAATTTTCCTTGAGATTCGGTATTTTTTAATTTGCGTTTTGATCATATGTTCACACAGTTTTTAGGTCAGTTGAACTGTTTTGGCGGATGACCCTATATCTATAACATTGTTTGGAATAATCGGTCTGAGGAATATATATTCTAAACGTCATTTACCTGTTTAAGAAAGCTCGTTGCATATTCTACTTTAGGTGACATATTTAAAGTATTGGTATCACATGCTTGGTGGTACTGGTGAAGTATAGGCTTTATTACATTCTGCAATCTAACAACAAATAGAAGACTCAAATGGGCAGCTAGCAATAATTATATCCTGTAACGTGAAGTCCTAAACATTGGTTATGACACTAGTACCTTGCTATGTAAAATACAGTAAGATAAGGTGATATATAATAGAAATTTACGAAATAGCAGATTTTTGGAAAAATATAGTTTTCTGAAAGAAATCAGCTGAATCAGAATAAAATGTAAGAAATGGTTCTGTCCATCGAGAATGGTAATCAAAATTGCCTAACACCATCTTGCAAATCCAAAAACTGAGCTGCACATAAATAATATGAACGGACTGAGGGCGGAGTTTATAACACAAAAGAAACAGAACTTTAAAAGTATCCTGAAAATAAGTTCACATACGAGGTACCCATCTTAAGTGTATATATAAAACTATTTTGGGTTAGAAAGGTTAGGTAAAAATGTGAAATGTATACAATATTCTAGAAAGTTTTAAAGGCTCTTGGTTGAAATCGCCAGCACGAGATAAGTATAGAGAACAGGTGCCCTCTTTTTCCCGCCATCTCGCCCTCCCTATATTCCCAAAACACTTTTAACCTCAAAATTCAAATAATAATCTGATCTAGTGCTTTTAATTATTCATAATATTTAAATGAATCAACAATTCCTAGGAACTTTATTGAATACCATCGTGTTTATATTCATAAACACACATTAGTTTTTTTTAGATTTTTGCATGTTGTGGTAATTTTATGGCTTCAGACATGCCTGAAATCCACACATTTCTAACAATAAACACGGCTTTGTTTAAGACAAATGATCGTGGAACAAAATAATGAACAATTTGGTCGAAAAAAGGTAATAAAAATTGTATTTGCACGATCCAAAATATTATTACCCCGTCAGTATGTTTTTCCCTGAATAAACGGAGAAAAAGACATACGATAATCAAATGAATAATTGTAGTTTGTATTTTAATTAGGATAAATAATGATCTTTACTTGGTATCGTCCGGAATGTTCATCGTTCTAAAAAGTAAATACCTCCATATATTTATAATTAAATTATTTTTTGAAAACTAACCTTTCATATGCATTCTCGATTAATTTCGTTTACGATCCAACCCAAATCGCAATACTTGACTACTGTTACTTATTCATAGTGACAGCGGTGATAAAGATGTACATGGAACTAGATAATAGTCTCCAAATGTGTAGTCAATAAATAAGAATCCTCAGTTGATAATGAAATTGTAACACAATGTTTAAAAATAAGATGTACACTCTAATGAAAAAATGCAAAAGTCTCGAATCTACTTACCTAGAATTCAATATTGATTTCCTGAATGAGGATACAATTTTCTGGTGTACATCCACATTGTCTTAAACATTGAAAAGCGAGAAGTTATGTTATTTAGAAACATGTAAACGATATTTGGGGAAATCTAACGCGTAAAATCATAACAGACCCTTTTCCTTATGGAAAGAGAAACAATCTATGAAAATATCTCTCAGATCGCTAAGAATAAGCTACTTATGATATAGTGTTATGTTTTGATGCGATATGTAATGATAATTTTGTTTCTTTTTAAACAAATGATATGATTTACGCCCAACACGCGCTTGTAATCGTAAACAGGTACGCTCGTGAACAAAAGTTTGGAAACTCAAACTATCAATCGTTTGAGATGCTTATCCTGTCAACGCATCTGGTTTCTCTCCAGTTATAGTTCATCCGATTCCCTCTGTTTGTTTTTGTTACCTTGATTTGTCCTAATAAGTGGAACGAGATTTCAACATATATTAACATTTTTTGCCTCAATTTAAGAGCACAAAAAGCTCATTTCCTAAATTACAATAGGGATTAACTTAAACAAATTCTACATATAGAAAGTAGAAAATAAAATTTTTAACTTCAATTTAGAATGATATGACATTTACCTATGATCGTCTAGTACTTTGGCATATTGGATCTTTATTAGCTGAAGACGTTAACATCCCTCTTTGGATCATGAACAGTTTTATTACGTCGGTTCCTTAAATCTCACATTTCTTCATTACATTATATTATACGTAATAAATGGCATGCGTCTGAAGCGCTTTTCTGGATTTATTTTCATCAGGAAACGCTCAAAGCCGAATATTTGAAAGCCAATGATTTATGATAACCGAAACAGTTGAAAAAGTTACATGACCAAAATGGACATACAAAAAATAGTCAAATCCAACCAAAGTCAACTTTGCCTGAGGGAGTTGAAACCTTAGTTTCTATATAATTTCAAAATTTATAAAAGAGAGGCGAAAGATACCAAAGGGACATTAAAACTTATAAGTCGAAAATAAACTGACAATTTATATTTACTTTCATCTAGTGTGTTGACTGCCGCTCCATTAATAACATCTAGAAAGAAATCAGGTGGGTTGTTGTGCTCTTCTATGATATATCCTGCAAATTTCAAGGAATGTGTGTTCATCAGAAAAAATCGTTAAACTTTATTGCATATGTTATCTGTATAAACAATACCAGTAAATGATAGTATATTCGTTTACCTGACATTTACTTATTGTGACATGAAAATTTGGACAAAAATACTTCCACTGTCACTTTGGAATATGCTCATGGTTTTTTTTAAGTTAACACATGTTTACACACTTGTCAATATTACAATTTCTGGAGGATAATACAAGTCATATTCAGAAATTCAGAAAATATGGACCAAGTAAACCCTAAAAGTATAATTGTCAGGTGAACATTTCAGGACTTGTTCAAGTTTGTATGCGTTAAGTTTTTACTGCAAAGATGGCTGCCAATCTAGTAGTGAGTTGATTTTCAGCTCTGCAGTTTTTGGCAATTTAAAGCTGGTTTTTGATGGAATTTATCTATGCAAATCATATCATGATGTTTGAATTTGATGAATTTTAAAGAAATATGATTTACTTCACATTTTGTTGAAAGATGGATTTACTATAGTGGAATTATATATTTTGGATTGGAAAAGTATTTGTAATTTATTGATTTTCTGAGTAGTGTTGTCTGTATTACAACTATGCATGGAGACAGTAAAGATGTAAAAACTGTACAAACAATGTTAGCAGCTAAAAAACCTGGGAGCAATGATTCTTCTAAAGACTCTGTAAAGGAAAAATTATCCAAGCAGAACAAACGATCCCATTCAGATGTGGCAAGTGTAGAAGGAATTGATTTGACTGGTATTCAGAATGATTTAAGTGAAATAAAACAATCTCTTCAGGGTACAGTTACAAAGACTGACCTTAATAGTGCTATGGTTAATTTAGTACAACAAAAGGACTAAAAAAGTTTAGTTAGTAACATTGTCCAGAAATTATTAGATCATTTTGAAGAGAAGATCACCAGTAAGTTTGAGTGTAAAGTAAGGGAGGCAACTGGAAAACTTGATGATAAGTTAGATACATTGATGATAGAGAATGAGACTCTGAGGGAAAGAATCAGGGCAAAAGATAAAGTTATTTATAACTTAGTGGAAAAGGTTGGTGACAATAATAAAAGATCTATTGATGCAATGAAGTTAGCCCATTATAATGAGCAATACAGTCAAAAACATAATATAAGAATGCCAAACTTTCCTGAAAAAAGGGGTGAGAATTTGAGAAAAGCTTTTATTGAAACAGTAAAGAGTGACTGTAATGTAGATATTGAACCCAGTGGTGTACTAGCCATCCACAGAATACCTGGAAAAAAAGGTAATCAGAAGACTGTCATTGTTAAGGTTAAGAATACTGACACTAAAATACGGATGATGCGACAAAAAAGATCCTTGAAAAATGAAGTGAAATTTCATGATGACATAACACAACGTAATCATGGACTAATGGCAAGACTTAAGAACACTAAAAAATTTGAAAATGTATGGTTTTACAACTGTAATGTGTATGCCAAAGCTGAAACTAGTAGCAGAATAAGATTTGATCTATTTGACAATGTAGAAGAAAAAATTAAAAAGAAATTTAAAGACGGAAATTAATTAGTTATCATTTTAGTCTGTTACATCTGTTAATATATTTTTGGAAAATGTACAACTTTTATAAATATAAATAGATAGATATAAATGTAAAAGGTAAATGCTGAAGTGTTTCATGTCAATTCTGAATTACAAAATCCTGTATAATTAGTAAATAGTATAAGAGATAAATCTCTTTATAATTGTTTTATTAAATATAAATTATACTGTCACTATACAGTATAGGGGAAATAACTCTAACATTAATTATGGACTAAATATGTAATCTTATCTCCCCTAAAAAACATCTATTCCTTTGCTAGATTTATTGATAACTATTACATGCCATACTGTAAATTAGTTTATACATTCAATGTTGAATGAAGAAAATAATATGCGACATCTTATGTTTGTATGTGTGTATGTTTATGTATGTCTAATTTGTTACAATTGTATATTTGTACTTATGAACTTGCTTATATGTTTTATGAATCATCACTTCAGCTATAATCATGGATAATAATGTAACGATATTATCAATGAATGTGAGGGGTCTTTTTCTCAAATTCCAAAAAAGAGGGCAGATGTATTGGATTAGGCTAGGAGTAAAAATACTTCAACAGTGTGTTTTCAGGAAACTCATAGTAATAAAGACATTGAAAAATACTGGGAGGATGAATGGGGAAATAAGTGCTTTTTCAGTCATAAAGACAGTAAAAGTGCAGGTGTCTCTGTTATGTTTAAAAAAAGGTCTGGATTTTGTGGTACATAATTCTGTTATAATGGTCGTTACATTATTTTAGATATAACAATTTTTTCAAAAAGATTGAGTTTTGCATGTTTGTATGGTTATAAAACAGATGAACCTTCATTCTTTGACACAATAATGCAGAACATTTTAATCTTTAAAACACCAGTGTTTATTATGTAGTGACTGGAATGTAGTATTAGATAAATTTATGGATACATATAATATCAAACATAATAGAAACCCCAACTCCCGTAAAAAAATTGATGAAATCATTGATGTTTTTGAACTACTTGATCCTTGGCGTACATGCTATCCAGAAGATAGGAAATATACATGGCGTCAGTCCTCACCCATAAAACAAAGTCGCCTTGATTATTTTTTAATTTCAGAAGACCTTTTTCACTTATGAAAAATACCATTATCATACCGGGTTATAGAACAGACCATTCGGCAATTCTTTTCACCTTCTCAGCTTGTTTAGAGAAACAAGGCAAAAGTTACTGGAAATTAAACTCTCAGTTACTTAGAGATGCATATTATATACAAAGGGTTAAATCATGCATTAAGGATACTATTTTGGAATATCATCTGTCAAGTGATATTGAAGATCTTCTTTCTGTTGAGTTGTCATGTAATGATTAAACATTTTTTGAAATATTGAAAATGAAGATTAGATCCTTGTCCATAAATTACAGCATAAATAAATCCAGGGAGGAAAACAATGTCACTCTCAAACTTGAAAAAGATATTTTATATTTTGAAAGTATTATGAATCATTCTCCAAATGATGAGGTTCAAAAATCTTTATTTGAAAAAAAAACTTGAACTAGAAAATTGTAGACAAGAGAAAGTTGAAGGCTTGCTGCTTAGATCCCGAGATAACTGGCATGAGAATTGTGAAAGTGTACAAATTATTTTTGTAAATTAGAAAAGAAAAATTTCATTAAGAAAACCATAACAGAACTAATAGATGAGAAAGGTCAACATATTTCAGAGCAATCCAAAATTCTGATTGAACAACAAATTTTTTATAAAAATTTGTACTCAAGCAAAAAATTAGATTGCAATGATACATCATTTTTAATCATAACATAAAGCTTACAGAAGAACAAAGTGACTTTTGTGAAGGAAATTTAACTTTTAAAGAATGTGCTGATTCTTTAAAATTTATGACAAATGGTAAAAGTCCTGGTTCTGATTGGTATACTGTATTTTTATAAAAATTTTTGGAAAGATATTGGCCCTTTTGTATTTCGGTCTCTCCACTTTGGATATGAGGGTGGAAAATTTTCTGATTTTCAGTAACCAAGTATAATAACTTGCATTCCTAAAGAGGGAAAGGACAGACAGTATATTAGTAACTGGCGTCATATTAGTCTTTTGAATACTGATATGAAAATAGCTTCTGCTGTTATAGCTAATAGACTTAAACCTGTTTTACCATTTATCATAAGTGATACACAAAAAGGTTTCATCAAAGACATATAAATGGGTGAGAACACACGTCTTTTATATGATTTGATGCACTATCTTGAGGAAAATAATAAGACAGGTCTTTTATTACTTGTTGATTTTGAAAAGGCGTTTGATTCTTTGGAATGGTTATTTTAAAAAAAATTCTTTAAAAAGCTTTAATTTTGGGCACTCGATATGTAGATGGTTTGAAACTTTATACTCAGGGGCATCAAGTTGTGTTATAAATAATGGACACATGTCTATTTTTTTTTTCATTTAGAAAGCGGTTGCAGACAAGGAGATCCTCTTTCTCCCTATTTATTTATAATTGATGTTGAATTATTATCTTTGGAATTAAAAGGTAATCCTGATATAAGGGGTATTACTGTCAATGATAATGAATCACTTTTAAGCCAGTATGCAGATGACACATTCCTGTTAGATGGAAGGGAAGTATTGTTGAGGGAAACACTTTCATGTTTTGAAACTTTTTATAAAATTTCAGGTTTGAAAATAAATGCTTCAAAGACAAAAGCACTATTGGTTGGAAGCAAAAAATATTCAGATCTCATTCTATGTCCTGACTTAAAACTTCATTGGTCACATTCAAATTTTAAACTTTTGGGGATTGAATTTTCTTTAGATTTAAGCTGTATCACAGAAATTAATTTTGCTAAGAGGATTAAAGAGGTCTCTGCAATTCTGAAGAGCTGGCAACATCGAAAACTCACATTATTGGGAAAAATTACAGTAATTAAATCACTTGCTCTTTCAAAGTTGGTCCACTTAATGACTGCATCACCAAACCTATCACACTCCAGGTTAACAGAGCTCACTTCATTATTTTATAATTTCATATGGAATGAAAAACCAGACAGAATTAAGCGTAACACACTTTTTGGTGATATTTAACAAGGTGGACTTAATATGGTACATCTTCATTCCTTTGACATCTATTTGAAAATTAGTTGGATAAAAAGACTGCTGTTAAACCCTAGCGGTGGCTGGCAGCAGTTGTTACTGGCAGACCTTATACAGTATGGGGGTGAAAGGGTTTTACATCTTCAGAAAGAAAAGCTGATTGAGATTTCTAAAAGATGTAAAAATTCTTTCTGGAATGATGTTTTACTATGCTTTTCTTTTGCAAAACCTAATACTGAGATTTCTGTCAGTGACATTTTAATTTATTCTTAGATATTTTGAACTTTTCTTCTTTGGATGATTTCCCGTATTACATTCAATGGGAAAAGGGAGGTGTGCAGTCAGTAAGTGACCTTATTAATCATGAAAATATGAATTTTTATAAATTTGAGCAATTTTAAGAAAAAGTACAAACCAACAATTTTATCAAATATTATAGTCTGATTTCAAAAGTCCCTAACACTATGAAAAAATGCCTTAAAGAGAACTGTCTAAATCATGATTTTGATAAGTCAAACACTGGTGATACTTTCATAAAAAAAATCATGTGTAATGTGAAAGCCAAATTTGTATATAAAAACTTAGTAGATGTAGTTATTCAACTACAACAATCAAATTTTTGAAATGGGAAGAACTGTTAGTTATTGATACAACAGAATGGTCAGAATATTTCATGATAACAAAAAAGTCTTGTAGAGATGCTTATTTAAGAACCTTTCAATACATTTTTGCATAGAATTATAGCAACTAATACCTTTTTGTACAAAATTGAATTAAAAGATACCAAGTTATGTACTTTTTGTAAACTTGGAGAAGAAACCATTAAATATAGTAAACTTTGTTCTCAACAAAGAGAATGTGCTTCTTGGTTGCAAACATGAAAGTTTATTATTGAATCTGCTAGTCATTATTACAAAGAATTATATATATAAATGTAAATCAAATGAAACAAAATCAAATATGGTTAAGTTAAAGAATAAAATAAAGAAATACCAATTTCTTGAATATCATATTGCAAAGAAAAATGATAAAGTCCAAGTTTGTGAAAAATTTTGGTCTCCTTTACATGTAATATTTAACTAAATGTTGTTTCATATTATCTATGTTTTAGTTAAGAGAAAAGAAATAAGTTATATACTATGAGCAAATTTATATTTGACTTTAAAATAATTGTATTAAAAAGTAAGTCATGATACATATTGTAGCAAAACAGATGAATGAAAAGTACTAATGTTGTATGTGAGAAAGTCAGAGAGAGAGAGATTAATCAAATACAATTTATATGTTACCTAAAATAGTCTTATTGTTAAAAATCAATTAGTCAGAGATTCATGTTGTATATTGCATTATTTTTCTGTATTTACCCCTTGATACCCTTGTCAGGTGGTAGTGTATAGAGGTATGTAAAATCCTGACTATTGAAAAAGAAATAAAAGATAAAAAAAAAGTTTTTACTGTAAATCTTTATCAATATTGCATTTTGTTTACTGACTATAAAAAAGCCAAAATTCTTCTTTTAAGAGCTGCAGTTAATTGCCAAATCGTCCTTTAACATTTGTTGTACTAGTTGCTGTTATTTTGTTAAGGTTAACAATTTTTAACCATCATCATTATGTCTGAAAAGTTTAAGGAAAAAACAAAGCACGTGTATAAAGTTGATATGCCTTACAAACTATACTATTGACTACACACCTATAGACCTTAAGTAGTCCAAAGATTCATGAGCAGGTCCATGGTAAACACATTCACCAAGGGATAGCATCATTAAACTGTCGAATAACTTAAAAATTGAGAATCTTGGCTGATGAATTGAAAACACAACTGTTGTCCCATTTTTTGATAAACTAAAAAGAAAAAGAATAAAAAAAACTACAGAAATATCGCTACCGGATTGTGATTTTGATATGTCTCGAAATATATCTACTGTTTTTGTCTATCTATTTCAGTTGATACTTAAACAAGTTTAAACAATTTATCTCTAAGTACTAGTATATGTTACTTAATTCGCGTGCCTGCAATGTTAAGAAAGGAAACTGAACTGGATGTACATTAGACATGAAAAAGACACATAATACTTGGAAATATTAAAATATCATTCTTGTTGTTCCAGAATTAGCAATCACCACCGAAAATAGAACGTTTTGCGGGTTTTGTTGTGATTTCAACTCCTTATTCGACCTGAAGTTAGATGCACTATATATGCTGACTTGAATACAAAAAACAATGCAGCAAACTAAACCAAGAGCAATAGGATCAAACTAGAAAAAAGTTACTTTTTTACTTGTATTTACTTGTATTGATACCTTTTTAACAACTGCATAACTGAATGAGCTGTATTTGCATCAAGACCTGTTGTTGGTTCATCTAAAAAAAGGACAGGCGGTGAAGTAATCAGTTCCATACCAATATTTGTTCGTTTTCTTTCTCCGCCAGAAATTCCCCGAAAAAGCTCGTTTCCAACCTACAAAAATAGAAAAGCAAGTGTCTAAACATTCTGATTAAAATATATATGGTTTCAGTATAACCGATTAAATACGGAACTAACAATATAATAGAAAGGAAAACATAAATAGTAATTTTGATAGATGTGATGTAATGAATTATAAAATTTATTTATTGAAATTACATAAATGTTTGTAGACCTTTACAATGCAATTTTTTTTCTTGAGGAAATCTGTTATACAGCGTCGGAACTGTTTCACTGGTGACAGCCTTTAAATGAATTCTAGAATGTTTTAGTTTTCTTTTTTCTTGATATGTAGCCAACATCTGCGTTTATTCAGATTTACCTTCGTATCAGCACAATCTGTCAACCCAAGTTCGTTTATAACATTTTGTATCTTTTCTTGTATATCAGCCTTTGTGATATGACCGGGTAATCTAAGAGCCGCTGAAAATGCAAAGTTTTCTCGAACAGTCAATCCACCCATCACAACATCATCCTATTAAAATAACAGCCCAGAATTGCATCCTTAAAATGATAATATATTTTCATATTTTGATATTGGTTCTATGTAATCAATTGCTACCATTTTCTTTTTCTGCGTTTTTTTAATATGTTGTTGTCTCAAATATTTATTCTTCTTCTGCTATACAAAAGTTAAACTCATTTAATGAGTACTGAATACTGTTTGGTGCCATGTGTATATAAACTTTACCTCTCAATTCCAATTTTTCTTGTCTCAGTGTTTACCCAAAAACAGAGTAGAAAATTGTCGACAACACCATGAACAAATGAACAAATAGAATGAAATGTATCTGCGACCAATTGATCTTTGAAAGTACTCCAAAGTCTGTTGGATCTGCAACTCTGTAGTCATGTAACTGTCGTACCATTGAAATACCGACTACCACCAAACTCAACAAATATATTATGAAAAAGTCTAGAAATTGACAATTTGACTGCTATTGTTAGTTTTATTCAGCTTATTTTCTTTTTTTTTAAATTCATTTATTTCGTTTGATTATATCTGGATTATCGACAATAAAAAACATAAGCAAGATATCTGCTATAAATATCTGGTTCCTGCAAAATCTCTAGCTGCTCGGCTAGCTGCAATAACACCAACCCAGCGTTAACATAACAAAATCACGATATTAAGTTTATGTGAGTATCGACTTCAAAAATTACTCGAAAAGACAGTTATGTTTTACTTCTATGAAATTACAATAAAGACATCAGAGGCAATATGAAATCTAACAAAATATTTTGAAAATAAAACGATCGTTACCTTTTTTGTCAAAAACAACAGTACACAAGACATAACATACAAAACTAAAGACTGAGCAACACGAACCGAAAATCGGGGTTGATCTCAGGTGCTCCAATCGATCCTGCTCCACTGGGGCACCCATCGTGTTTCTCGTTATAATGTTCAACATTTATGTACCTGTACAACATATCCAACCATACATTTAAAATTTTCCGGAGGTGGTGATCCATTGAACAGTAGATCTCCAGTCACTCTCAATGGTTCTTTCCGTCCTGCCAATATATCTAACAGCCTACGTTATAAAGAAAATCCATGTCAGTAATTATCATAAGTTAACTTATAACTTAAATTCATGGAAGTTCGTCGTATAATCAAACATTTCAGTCAGTACATTATTCATAAATACCTTTCATGTCTGTTAATCTAATAGACTCAGTCATGGATCATGGTTAATTTAATATTCGTGCTTGTAAACGTCACCATAGCCTTCCACAAGCATTTTCCTGATAAATGGTTGATTCTTATAAGGTATCCAAAGGGCTCTAAATGACACTATTTCAATTTGGTTGATCGGATTCACGGATGACCAAGGATGTGTTTCACTTGTTGTCACATTCCCATTTCCGTCTTCGTTTATGACATAACTGAATGCGAACAGACATTAACTATCTATGGGCAGCTAGACATGTACCTGAACTGAAGCGGCACTGATAATCCTTCCAGAGCAATGTTTATTTTTTCTAGTTTATATATATTGCTCGTGGTTTAGTTTGCTGCACTGACAAAAATCAAATGATCAAATTTTTCAAATTCCGGTGAATTGTTTTCAATGAAATAAAGAAATATGCAAGAGGGACACTTTAAAAATGCAAACAAAATATATAATATATTTTTCCTTAAAATTCATCATATTTTTTGAAGAAAACCCATCCTCATGTACAAAAGTAATTATATCCAAGGATGGTAAATGATTTCCATTAAATTTTGATGAAATAAAGAAATAATTGCACTCTAACAGCACAAAGAAAAGTTTAAGTATCTCTAGCCTTATATTATTCAAATTCTATAAAAAAATAACTTATCCAGAGGCAATTAAGATAACAGATTGCTAACAACGGTGCATTTATTTAGTTTTGAGAAAAAGAAGAAATGTTGCTATCCTTAAACAATGCAAACAATATGTGTGTATCTTTTCTCTGATATTCGTCATATTTTATGAAATCAACCAATCCTGATGTACAAAAAATACTAAAATCAAATGGCAGTTCATGATATCCATTAGAATAAAAAAGTACTTGCATTTTTATTCAACAAAATCAAAAGTTTAAGTATCTTTATTCTTATTTTATAAGAAATAATAATGATCTAGAGTCATTTACAATGACTGATTGAAAATAACGTTGCGTTATTTTTGATAAAGAAGAAGAAATGATTGCATTTTTAAAGAATGCGAACAAAATGGGAGTATTTTTTCTTTGATATTCATCATATTTTATGAAAAACAATTCATAAGTATGTACAAAAAGATATAATATTTAACGGCTGGTCATGATTTCCGTTAAAATAAAGAAATAATTGTTTTTCCTATGCAACACAAAGCAAATCTTTCTTTATCCTCGAGTTTTTCAAATTATATAAAAAATAACGTCTCCAGAGGCATTTAAAACAACTGATTGCAAATAGCATTGCATTAGTTTTGATAAAAAGAAGAAATATTGGTTTTTAAAAAATGCAAACAAAATTAAGTATCTTGTCTCTGATATTCATCAGAACAACCAATCCTGATGTACAAAAAGTACTAAAATCCATTGGTGGTTCATGATATCCATTGAAATAAAGAAATAATTGCAGTCTTGATCAATACAAACAAATGTTAAAATATTTTATCCTAATATTATTGAAATTTTATAAAAAATGACTTATCCAGAGACATTGAAAATAAATGATTGCAAACAACAGCGCTTTATTTTGGATAAAAAGAAGAAATATTGGTATTTCTTACCAATGCGAACAGTATTTTAGTATCTTTTTTCTGATATTCATCCTATCTAAAAACAACCCTTCCTGATGCACATAAAGTACTATAAACCAATGACGGCTTATGATTTCCCTTAAATAAAGACTGAAATAATTTAACACACACATAAGTCTTAGCATATTTATCCTTAGATTATTCAAATCTTGAAAAAAATAACAAATTCAGAGGCATTTGAAATAACTGATTGCCAATAAAAGTGTATTTATTTTCATAAAAAGAAGAAATTTCGGCAATTTTAAACAATGCGAACCAAATATTTGTATCTTATCTCCGATATTAATCATATTTTATGGAAAACAACCAATACTGATGTACAAAAGTACTAAACTCCAATAGTGGTTCATGATTTCTAATATATTGCAATCTTATTCAACACAAACAAAATAACTTATCTAAAAATTAGAAATAACTGCTTGCAAACAACAGTGCTTTATATTGGATAAAAAGAAGAATTATTGGTATTTCTTAACAATGCGAACAGTATTTTAGTAACTTTTCTCTAGTATTCATCCTATCTTATGAAAAACAACCCAGCCTGATGTACAAAAAGTACTAAAACCAATGACGGTTTATGACTTTCATTAAAATAGATTCATAATTTTATTCAACACACACATTAGTTTAAGCATATTTATCCTTAAATTATTCAAATTTTATAAAAATAACTGATCCAGATGCATTTGAAATGACTGAATACATACAAAAGTGCATTATTAAAGAAGAAATAAAAGGCATTTTAAGCAATGCGAACAAAATGTTACTTACTTATCTCTTATAATTCATCATATTTTGTGAAAAACAGGCCATCTAGATGTACAAAAAGTAATAAAGACCAAATGCTGTTCATTATTTCCATAAAAACAAAAGAAATAATTGCATAATTATTATTCAACACAACAAAAGTTTAAGTCTTTTAATCCTTATACTATTCAAATTTTATAAAAACTAACTTATCTAGAGGAATTAAAAGAAGTGATTGCAAAAAGTAAAATCACAAAATACCGAACAGGAAAGTCCCTTATCAAATGGCAAAACCAAAAGCTCAAACACATAAAACGAATGGAAAACTACTGTCATATTCCTGACTTGGTAGAAGCATTTCCTTATGTAGAAAATGGAGGATCAAACCTGGTTTTACAGATAGCTCAACCTTTCACTTGTATGATAGTCGCATAAACTTCCATTATATTGACAACAATGTGTGGGCAAAACAAACAGACATAATAGGTAAAAATGTCAAAAACTAGGGTACAGCAGTCAACATTGTGTTATAATCTTAATCACTATGAAACAAACAACTATACCAACAAAGAAAAACAAAATGGCATGTAGACACTCTATAGACAAAGCACATAGCAAAAATGTAAGACAACAATACAAAAAATGACCATAGCACAATAACACAATAGCGGGATGTATAAATACCGAACAACGCCAAAGGGATATTACCAAAAATGGACTAAATAGTTAAGGTTAAAAATATTCAAAGTCAAATAAAAAGACCACTATAACACGTAATTAAGTTGATAAATAACGTCAGTACCTAGAATCTTTACTTCAAGACCATCATGTATTATTTGTTAAAGTGATACGTAATATTTATCTACAAGGTATTGGTATCTTCCGATGAACTTTTTAAGAAAAAGGACGAGACGTTCTTTGACATAATCGTGGTTCTTCAACTTTCTGCTCAGACACTTGTGACGTTTTATATAAAAGTCTGAAGAGCAGCTGCAAGCTCTTGAATACCGAACGCAAACAACAGTTCCCAATCTAAAAGAAGAATTGCTAGTATTTCTTACCAATACAAAGAGTATTTTAGTATCTGTTCTCGGATATGCATTTTATCTTATGAAAAACAGCCCAGCCTGATGTACAAAAAATACTAAAAACCAATGACGGTGTATGATTTTCATTAAAATGAAGAACTAATTGCACTTTTATTCAACACACACACAAGTTTAAACATATTTATCCTTAGATTATTCAAATTTAATAAATATAACTGATCCAGATACATTTGAAATGACTGTTTGCAATCAAAAGTTCATTTATTTTCATAAAAAAGAAGAAAAATGGGCAATCTTAAACAATGCGAACAAAATTTTATTAATTGATCTCATATATTCATCATATTTTATGAAAAAAACAAGCAATCTGCATTTACAAAAAGGACTAAAAACCAAAGGCTGTTCTTGATTTACATAAAAAACTAAGAATTTATTGCATTCTTATTCAATGCAAACAAAAGTTTAAGTATCTTTATCCCATATATTATTCAAATATTATAAAAAAAAAAACTTATCAAGAGTCATTTGAAATAACGGATTACAAACCACACTGCATTTTGTTTTGGATAAATAGAAGAAATGTTGGCATTGTTAAACAATTCTAACAGAATTTTAGTATCTTTCTCTGATATTCATTATATTTTATGAAAAACAAACCATCTTCAAAGTGATGTACAAAAAGCACCAATCAAATGTTGACACAGAGATATGTCTCACCTGTCGACATAAAATTCAGAAAAAGACAATCTGGTGGGCAGCAGCATTGATTATTTATTCAAAGTCGCCGGACCAAGATCTAGCGGACAGGGCCTCAAAATTGTTGACAACTGAAATCTACATACAGTAATGTTATTTTATAGAAAAATATCGTTGTCTATTGTAAGTAGTTCCTTTCAATCTAACTTAAGAAGAAAACTTAACATTGAAAATAGCTTATTAATTCAAAGTCACTGGAACATGATTTAGGGGGCAGGGCGTCAAAATAGTCATCAAACTGATATGAACTGATAGTAATGCAACTTCATACAAAATATCATTGATCTATCACAAATATTTCCTATCAAACTAACTTAAGGTGGATCGGGTGTCTTAATTAAAATCCATAGAACTTTTTAATAATTTGTCAAAATGTAGTTTTTATTATGCTTTTTTTCCAAAGTATATTAAAAAGTATGGGTCACCGGACTTTTTTTCACACTACAGGTTGTGCAAAATTGTCAGATTTTGTATAAATTATGCATGTAAAATCCAATTTTGTGTGATAAAATGAAAACTACACCATAGAATTGTAAGATAAAATGTGAGAAGATAGCTCTTATGACATGCTTTCAGATAAGAAAAAGAAAAAATGGTGTCACCGGTCTTGTTTTCTTGCTAAATTCACAACACTTTCTCTTGTAAAATAACTTTATCTGAGTTATCTCCCCTTCAATTTGAGTAATCTCCCCTTATGTGGTAAAGTTG